TTATACATCATGTCTTAGATATACGAATATATTGGTTTGGCGATCCTATTCAAAATGGCCAAATGGTGGTCATTTTTGTGCTAAACAATCATCAAAAATCAAGCATTTATGGCATTTATGGATGGATTTCATTCAAAATTGGTACTTACATTAGACATTACGGGTTCCTGATGCTCGTCATTTTATTTTTCAGATTGGATTCAAAATGGCTGACTGGCGGCCATTTTGTTTTAATGAATGGGCTTCTAGACCCATATCTCCCACTTGTTTTGACTGATAATATTTTCAAATCTTAAATATTCATTATACATCATGTCATAGATATACAGATATATTGGTTTGATGATCCTATTCAAAATAGCCGAATGGTGGTCATTTTTGTGCTTAAAAATAATCAAATATCAAGCATTTTTGGCATTTATGGATGGATTTCGTTCAAACTTGGTACATACATTAGACATTACGGGTTCCTGATGCTCGTCATTTTATTTTTCAGATTGGATTCAAAATGGCTGACTGGCGGCCATTTTGTTTTAATGATTGTGCTTCTAGAGCCATATCTCTTAAATGCTTTGACTTATTAGTCCCCGTTTGGACGTAGTTCGAAAACGGGGACTTATGTTTTGCTCTGTGTGCGTCTGTGCATCCGTGCGTCCGTGATCACCTGTATCTCGAACATGCATGGACCGATTAAGTTCAAACTTCACTCATACATCACACATTATATGGGACATATGCACATGCATTTTTTTCATGTTCCGATTATCGATAGCCGAATAGCGGCCATATGCATTATGCATGGATGGATTTTGTTCAGATTTAGTGCAATGTGTTGTACATATGCAGGTGCATTTCGGTCATGATCTGCTTTGAATGTATATGTCACTCAAATATGAACGGAACGGGGACGTGTCATTGACAATGACTTGTTATATTTAAATTTTATATATTCGTTATACATCATATTAAATATATACATGTATTCAACATGGCTGAATTTTAATGCTGTTCCAGAGCAATATCTCTCAATATGGACAAGTACTTGTTTGACGATCAGATAGAAATGTCAATCATTTTAATGTTAAAAAATCATATTCCTGACATGGTTATATTCCAGCTATATTACTATAAACAAAACTATATATCTTAAATTTGATAACTATAACGGGGACTGTGCCATGTTGGTGTTGTAGTGTATGCATGATTATGTGCTTAATAATTCTATATATTTTCTATATAATAAATCATTATTGTGAATGGTGTATAATGGCAAGGCTGGTGTGCAAATGTTCAAATAACTGAAAAGACCCCCAGCAATGATTTTTATTTTCGTTGTTCATTTCAAATTTGTTGAAAACTAAATGTTGCTATCACACTCATAACTTTGAAAACCACAGCTAAATTTTAAATTGTGATTACTTACCGCCAATTGATCAATTGAAATTACGCTAAAAACCAAAATGTTAGATTCTAGAAAATATTAGAATTCACTTGGCCTTCATTCATTAGCTATGAACCTTGTGCAGTGTATTCAACAATCAGATACTGTAAACAGAAATGAAATGAGCAGTACGAGTTAGATTGTAATAATTATCATACAGATAGAAAAATTATCACCAAGGTGTGGCAATATACATTTCATAAATTCCATATCAGTGCATGTGTATGCTATGGTAAGACGACAATTTTGAGGGAAAAAATATCCTAAATAGCCATATATAAACTGGTTATTTGTGAAAACAGTTTTGTTTATATATAAAGACACACTCATGCCCTGATATGGAATTGTGTTTATAATAACTATGTTATTGACATTATTATTATTTATTTTTCTGAGTATGGATCAGATTACTTTCACAATATATATCACACACAGCTGAGCTATATCAGCCGACATATTGCATATTTGTTCAGCTAAATGCTGTAGCTTCTGAATCAATAATGTTAAACAACAGCTTATTTTTGTTAATTTGGCTTATTGTTTCCAGGCGTACTGTGTGGCAGCGATTGAGAGCGACAGTGACTCCAATTCTTGGTGAAATCATTGCGTTTGTAGACAAAAATTGTAATTTAGATGTGGTAAGACCTTCAGAAGAAGGAAATGTGAAAAGTACTCTCTGGTTGCAGATTTTTGCCAACCCCAACCTCACAGTGATCCAGTATGACTCCTTCCTCTCACCGGTGACGAATAAACCACGAGTTACTATTCCAGTAATGTCATCCACCTCTAAAGGAAAACATGAGCAATACAAATTCCCATTCTTCTTGGTCATCAAAGACCACATGGACAATCTGCTACACAATGCTCATAAATTAAAAGGTAAAGTGCAATAATAAACATGTTTATACCTTGGATATTTGTGTAACAGAATATATATGTGCATGAAAAATCATTTATGCATACAAGACAGAGCGATCTTTTATTTTAAGTCTAGGATATCAAGATGAACAAATTACATCTTGCGCAGTACCAGCATTGATTGTATAAATATTATGATTGCAAATTTTTAACGGAAATGTGATATCAGATTGTGTGTGCTCTAGTTTTAATTTTGCCAAGTAGTGCAATATACATGTATGTATCATTTAAAATCCAGACATGTCAAAATTCTACTGTTTGACTCCTCCCTTTCTGCATGTTTGCTTTTTGGATACAATTTTTAAGTACACTGATATCAACACATTTCGTATTCAAATACTCACTCAATATAAATTGATACGTATAGTTCAGACTATAATTCATACCAGTATAATGTTTTCAACCTGGCCTAGTTCACTGATTTACACATATGAATGAATACTCTTATCCTGTTGAACTTCATGTTGGATTTAGGTCCTGATGAGACAAGTGTTAGCCGTGCATTTCAGTGTGTGTTAGATGAGTCTGAGATTGCATCTACTCTAATAATGAATGCAAATGATGAACACCATGAAGAATTAATTCACTGCTACCTGGAAGACTTTTCACAAACTGTACCTAAAAGAAAAATATCAGAACAAATATCTGTTGAATACAAGGTAGATTGTCTTAACTTTGTATATCAGTGATCATACTTCATTAGTATTTGAACAAAACTACTTTAGTCCATGTATGAATTTATTTTGATGACTAGTTAAATAATAGAATTACATGTACATGTCTAATTGTTAAACGATTACCTAACTGTTCTTCAAACACATGTAGCATAATTCCAATTCTTACTTATGTTTCATGTATGTCCAAAACAAAATTAAACTCACAAAACTTCATCGTTTCATCAATCAATTCCCAAGTGAACAAGACACAGCTACCTAATGTAATGGCCAATTCATTTTGCAGTGGATGTCAAACCATAGGAAAATTCTAACTCGGTAATCACTACTATATATGTGATGGCTGTGCTACTGTAATATAGGTCTATAATAATCATTCTTTTTTTTCATTCAGAAAATTATTCAGCAGTCATTACGAAGTGTGGCAGCTTTACCTCATGTTAACAATAAAACCGGTGGTTTTATTTTAACAATTCCTGCAATTCATGTGTCTTATGAAATAATCCGTGAACGCTTGGAACACTTTGAACAGATTATAAAACTTTATCCTGGTGCCATACACTCAGATGTCGAAGAAAACGCAGAAATGGTAAGTATTCACTGCATGGGCTGCTCTAAACTTGTCATATATCTTTATTTAATTAGGTAGCTGAATTATGTTAATGTTATTTGAAAATCGCCTGCTTTAATAATGTAAAATTAGTATATTCTTCCTTTTCTACTTTAGGTATTGGATGCATCAGCACTGCTATCACTATTAATAAGTCTTAAGCCCGAACCAACTGAATTGAAATGCATTGTCAAACGAAACGCATGGTTAAACATGGTACGCAATGCAAGACCGGTTGTTGAGCGAATATTAGATTCTGAAAAACGCAGCAAAACAGACTTCTATGGGACTATCAGTAGAAAGCGAATTAAAGAGTGCAGGTAAATGTTTATACAAAGCAATTTGCAATACATACTCTGAATTATGTGCACCAGTGATTTAAACACTTACTCACTTGTTTTTCAGACCGCTCTGGATAAGCATCAGTGTTGTTAAATTATTCGTTGAACACGTGTGTCCTGACACGGAAGCTGGTGGAGAAATCATAAAACGGTCCCGTAATCTGCTTCTTGTAAGCTAATCATAATTGCATTACTCGTTTGTGGTCACAAAAACAATAAACCTGCATGCGCCTTGAACATTTTAATTTATTAATATAATACAAGTCAAAGCACATGTATGGCGTGTGTGTATCACTGCTGTCCTTTACCTATTACCGATGAACAATGTTTTATTGAAGTTACTCTGTTATTTATTTTTAGGCTTTGGGTAAAAATGTGGATTTGAAGAAAGCAAGTTCCATCAATACCATCGAGAATTTCTTGATCACTGCTAACGTCACGGCTAGTGTGCAACACTTCAAGTAAGTCAGAAACACACACACACACACACACTGGTTCATAGGTTGCATTGCTGACAAACAACATGAACCATATCCCTGTTCCTGCTCATAAATATAGCTAATATAATGCATATGTGCATAGAATTTGCGATAGAATATACGTGGTTAGTATGATTGAGGAGAGTGGTGTTACTTTTCTTACTGGTGGTATGATGGTGGGTACAGGACACTTATGTCGGTATTATGGCAATCTGCTCCACTAGGATTGCCCTTATCACAGTTACTAAAAAAGACAGTTAGGAAATGGTATTGTTAAAAGGTGTGAATCTGCCTAATCTCTCAAGGATGCGTGTCACGCTGTGTACGCCCTCTATCGCTTGAGATTTCAAGGCCCACCTTTTTTTTCTTATTGTGTCGATCACTTGATGTCCTGCGAATTTGAAATTTTCAGCTCGTTTTTGATAGAGTAACCATGTTTAGTGCACAAGCTCTATGAAGAACTATACGTACATTTTGGATGAGTACTCTTTGTGACTGTGATAACATTCAGAATCGAGAATCATCATTTATCGTTTTCACTGTTGTCATGAAAGTAAGCTTGGGTCTCGGAAGAAAAAGTGACGAAAATTCTAACCCCTAAGTCATTATTTTAAAATACATTATATTATAAAAAATACTACCAAATCAATTTTTAGTATACTACTGTGCGTACTTATGATGGTTGTATACGATTTGGGGGCTTATTAGAGTAAATTTTATTGTTGTGCTTTCGCGTCACTGTATCAGCTATTTTGTTTAAAGTCTTTACACTTTTTTAGCTCCGCTGTCGACGAAGTCGAGCAGAGCTTATAGTATATTATTGATTGTCCGTCGGCGACTGTCGTCCACTTTACATTTTTGACTTCTTCTTAAAAACTACAAACTGTATAGCTGTGAAACTTTCTGGGAAGGTACCTTGGGTGGACCTCTCTCAGATTTGTTCATTTCGTGTGTATATGTTCAATTGTCTTATTTATAGCGAATATTTTTGTCATTTTTGGTCAAAAATGCTATTTTTCGATTTCTTCTTGAAAACCGCTAGCCCAAATGCTTTGATACTTGGTATGTAGGTACCTTGGGTGGACCTCTCAGATTTGTTCATTTCGTGATGATATCGTCATTTCTCTGATTTTGATGAGTATTTTTGTCATTTTTGGTAAAAAATTATATTTTCGACTTCTCCTTGAAAACTGCTAGTCTGATTGCTTTGATATTGTATATGTAGGTGTATCAGGTGGACCTCTGTCAGATTTGTTAATTTTGATGAATATTTAATTTGTAATTTTTGATCAAAAACGTTGTTTTCAACTTCTTTTTGAAAACTGCTAATCCGATTGTTTTGTAACTTTATTTGTAGTACCTTGGGTGGATCTCAGTCAGATTTGTTAATTTCATGGCGATATCTTCAATTCTCAAATTTTAGTGAATATTTTTTCATTTTTGGTAAACAACGTTATTTTCAACTTGTTCTTGAAAACCTCTAACCTGATTGCTTTATAACTTTATTTGTTCCGTAGATTTGTCCATTTTGTAAAAATAGCTTCAAATCTCTACTTTTAGTGAAATATTCTCTGCAACAAAATTGGTGTTGAAAGTTGGTGGCGATATATTAAAGCAGCTAGCATTAAGTTTAAATTGCTTCTTTGTCATTGCTTTCAGAGCATGCATCACAAACAGCGGAGCTACATTGTATATCAGCCGACAGGCTGCTAGTTTGTAGACACTGTAGAAATCGTTGAAAATGTATTCAACATTTCCCACCAGTTTCATAAAATGCCTGTTTAATTGTTCTTGTCTGTCCTTGTTTCAGTTTTTTGGCAAATTTTTCATGTTGCAATATTCAGCGTGTCGTTACGGTTTTAGTCAACGCAACAGTTTTTGAACACATTGAACTCTCGGTACAACTTTCTAGCAGTCTCTTCGATGAATCAATTTTTCGAACCCTTTTTAACCATTATTAATTTCATTGCCTGTTGTTGCATATTTGGTGTGCTTACATGCATTTTGTAGAGCATGGGTGGGTCGTTTCACTTATCTTATTGCATATTTTGTTTATTTCCAACAAAATGTATGTGGTATCATGACTCCTCATTAAAACTTTCTTATGGCTGAAATATAAACATTTGTATGGTTTCTTTGACATCTTTTTTTCTGATCATGTGTTATTGATTTTTTTATTTCAGTTTTCTGCTGATCTTGTTTTTTAGAAATGAAAGTGCCATACAAGACTGGCAAATTTCTATTAAGTTTAAACTGAGCGAGAGGTTTTGTCAGGATTCACTGGAACAACTTACACTTTAGTAACTTAAAGCATCAGCACAGATAAACAATATCTTCAATTCTCTAATTTTGATGAATATTTTTGTCTTTTTTGATAAAAAGTGATATTTTCGACTTCTTGTTAAAAACCACAAGTCTCATTGCTTTGATATTACATATATAGGTACTACATGGGAACCTCTTTCAGATTTTTTTCATTTCATGATGATATTTTCAATTCTCTAATTTTGATGAATATTTTCGACTTCTTGTTAAAAAGCGCAAATCTGATTGCTTTGATACTATACATATTGGTACCTCAAGTAGACCTTTCTCAGATTTTGTGATGATTTTGTTCTTCAATTATCTAATTTTGATGAATGTTTTTGATAAAAAGTTATATTTTTGAATTTTTGATGAAAACATATTGTTCATTTTCTAATGATATCTTCAGTTCTTTAATTGAAATGTGCATTGCTAAAAGTGGAGGTATCTCAACTGTCAGGCTGCTTGTTTTTTTCTGTCTGTGTTCCATGAAACTTCTTTTTTTGTGATTTTGTAGTCTTGGAGGTATGGGGGTCATGGCATATTTGGAATCACCAGTGGAGTTATCACTGTCATCTGCTGGGGTAGATCTTGATAGTCCTCTCTTAGAACATCATAGGAGTTTTTTATCGGGATGTTGATGATAAATGGTGTAATAGCAATATTTAGATTGAGGTTTCTTCGACCGAAGGTGTTGTTTGGAGAGGTGAATTTGTCTGTGTTGTGGCATTGGCAGTTGTTAGCGACTTTTGGAATTGGTTGTATCAAATCTTGTCTGTGTTGCTTCGTTAATATATTGGCAGCAGTCTTGTTTTCTGTAACAATTGTGTTGTATGGTTTTTAACATGGTTAATATCTGTGATTGTGTGTCATGCATCCTATTGAAGCTTTTGTTCAGTTTTGTTATGTCGTTATTGTTCTTGAGTACATTAGCGTTGATGTTGTCTAGTGATGTTTGTTAAATGCTTGATCTCACTCTGACAGCTTGCAGTTAATTTGTCATGTGAAGAAAACTTTGCCTTGCTGTCCAGTTTTTCCTGTTGTAAATCATGAAGTTTATTGTTGATGTCTCTATGTCTATCTTCGATATCTTCTATAATTTCCCGGAAATTGGATTCCTTGTTTAGAATAACATTTCTTGCTTTGTCTAGTAGATGTGATTTTGAGCGAATAGGTGTCCGTTTTGTTGTATTCTGAAGATCAGGCTTGGTTGACTGATTCTGATTCTGATATGGATTGGCTTGTGTTTTTTGGTACTGGTATTGTGATTGCGTATTGATAACGTATTATTGATAATGCCCTTGTGCTTTCAGGTGGCAAAATTACCTGGCCTCGCTAGCAATTGTTCTATGATCAGTTAAATTCAAACTCTGGAATTATTCCAATGTATGTTGCAATATCTGAATACTATTATACATTCAGTTTCTGTTGGGCCTTGTGTATTATTTGATTCTGTTTGTGTCTCTGTGTAATTCCAAAACGTGTACCATTCTGGATGCATATTTTTAACATTAGACGATGGTGATCGCTACTCCAGTGCCAATTTACCCAATGCTTTATATACGTTACGCGCGAACCCCATTTAAAATAAGGAGTCATCTTGAACACCACTCAGGACCTCTGAATTATGTCAGTGATACCACAGTAATATTACTCGCAATAGAAGTATAGTAAGAGAAGATTTTATTAATAATTACTACTAGTCTATTGCAAAAGCTTATATTGATTCACTTCAATTTAGTCAAGTACATTATTGTCTATGATTTAGCACATTCCAATTCAATGTTATGTCCAACTTATTAATGTTTAATTTAAATTCACAGATTTGGAGTAAGATTATGTCTGCAATGTAAAGAATGCATAAATGAACCAGTAGCCTTGCCTTGTAGACATGTAT